TGTAAATGATCATGCAGACAATGGACTCCGGATTAGCTGCGTTCCTCTAAGTCTTTCTACCAAAATGACCAAGTTGCGAAAACAAAGTCAAACAACTTCTATACAACGAAGGAGACTGCGACCACACAAAAGGCCACACCATCTTGGTTTCCATACCTTTGTCAGTCTTGACGGCTTAAGGTGCTCTGAGCTCGTCTCACAATCAAGTGAGTAAACCTTAAAAGTAATATTTGCTAGCGGTTTCACATCTCATTGAGGGTGCTGCTGAGACCGTCAAAGAGACAAGAGCAAGTGAAATTCAATGTCCTATTCCTTTCTTCTTTGGCCAGACTCCACTTATATCCTCTAAATCACCTTAAGCTATCTAGGCAGACTATGGTGTTAATTATGATGAAATGCTAATTTTCGCAGGCTACTCAAACAGAACATGACTACTTATTGTGCAATTGTGAAACTGTCTCGTCTTGTAGTCGAATATTTTGTGGCTGCAGCTTATACTACTAGCAAAATGGTGAGTAGCTAAAAGACAAGCGGGCGGTCATGCTCCCACAAGTGGCCTACGCGATATAACTGCGAGTGCAGCGAGGGGAACTGAACGTGAATGCCCATTCCGGCTATGCAGCCCAACAGGCCAACGGTGCTGATGCAGATCAACAAGATGCGCCACCAGTACCAGACGAAGACGCCTGGCTGGACGCTGACACCCAACGGCTCCACCTTCAGGGTGATGATGAGCAGACACAAGAAGCCGATGTAGCAGGCGAGCAGGTAGAAGACCATCCGGCCGGGCGATCGTGTTGTGGAGAGCCGAACCAGGCCGGCAGGTAGCCAAGCCGCCCAGAAACGCGACGGATAGCCGGGCTGTCCGACGCGACATTGGCCGAACTGGCCGGTTGAGCAACAGAGGCAAGGGGATGAGTGGCCAGCTGGAAAATCGGACCTTATTGCAGAAGCCTCTCTCTGCTCGACGACATCAAAGGAGTGGAAGGGAGGAGAAGAAGTTGCGGTACAGAGAAGGTGACTTAATAGTCAATAATAAAAAATCGTGTTGCAACGGAATTAATCCCGTTACAAGATTGAACATGATCGAATTTCGCGAGATCTTATCAAATACACCAAAATGCCATTAAACAAAGACCCTCAGGTAGAAGACGCTTTCTTCTCGTTTTGTGTAGGCCCACTCTGGGTGAAAATACATTTTGGGAAGGCGAGGCTATGTGAAATTCGTATA